GAAATTTAACGTTATATCAGATTTAAAGATAAAATTGCTATTCAGAAAATTATCGCAAATATGATGTATTTATGCCAAAAAATGTACATTTGCTGTACTATTTTTTACTTTGAAAATTTAAACGAAACACGTGTTACGAAATTTGTATGAAGAATATATAGATGTCCACAGAAATGTCCCCTTAACACTAAATGTACGTTGATGCATTACATGTGTATTGTCAGTGCCAGAAAACCTGCATTCAACAAGATTTATGATTCAAATTTGGACAAGACTTCAAAAGTTCATATACCCAAGTACATATTGGTACATGTATGTTGATAGAGCGCTACAAAAATAAAACAGATATCATTAAACAGCTGTGCCCGATCCAATGCCCCCGGGCTTATGTTTAACGTTTTGAACATCGACGCACGTGAATATACATAACGCGCTGGTGTTAATACAAATAAATGACTTACAAAAAACTTCCTTAATTCATGAAAATTAAAACAATGACACCGCTTGTGAAACCATTTTCATGTTTTACATGTGATGTTCGTGTCGAAACAGCCGTGGATTATGCTTTAATGAATTCAAAGTTTGTATAATTCGTATAAAAACGATGGGAAGGCCGGTAAGCAATGAAGCTGATTCGGAAGATGAACAGATAGAATTAGAAGCTCCATCGTTGAAATCCAGAGTGTCCGTCGGTTCTTTACTTTCCGTGTTTACTGACGAGTTTGTCTTAAATCTAAACTCGTAACAAGTAAAACGGCCATTTTACCTGCTGTATCTGTTGCTTTTATCTGTTCCGAAATTATAGCAAACAATGACATTTTTTTTACCAGAATCATAACGTTTATAAAACAAAAAAAGTCCCCATGATTATATGCAGATCATAACCAAAAGCCCGTTAAAAACATCATAATTCAAATATTGTATAATTACTTTATTAAGAGAAAGAAATTTTAAACAAATGTTCTGAAGAAAATCTGTTCTTAGCGTTACTAAAAAATAAAACGGAGTAGGCGTATTACGGTAAGTGACACCAGTATCTTGCGACGTCTCAATGCAAATGATAAAAGATAATAACAGTTACTCGTCTTGTTTACTCAAAATATAAAAAGTACAAAACATATACAAAATAAAATCAAGATCATCCCGGATGCGGCACAAATGTCAATGAACGGGAAACCGGTCAGGACACATTAATTTGGATTCCAAAACGATACCACTAAATGTCCAGCCGTATTCCTGGTAGATGAAAATCGAAAATCCTACATTAAGGATTTAAACAAATATCTGAAACTTACTCAATAAAAAAATCAATAAAAAAAAGACATAGATAAACAGTTTAAGGATAATGAAATTTATCATGAAACTAATTTGACAAAACACAATGATGATGATGTAGGATTCTCTCTGCAAGCATTTTAACATCTTCTATCATCGACAGATATACGGCTGTTGACAACAATACAGATCCGACTGTTTTCTTTTTCAAATTTTAACCCAATTTTCCCATTGAACATCTTTCTAAAACCTCTAAAATACAGTTTACCATGTCATCTGCAAAGCGTAGCAAATTTCATAAAAATAGTGCTGTTTGAATTGTTTTGATTCAGAAACTATTTACGCATCAGTGAATTTTTTCACGGCATATACCAATTTACGAATCATATAAATGCCTCTGATTCCTTATGAGCGAAGGCCAGATAGGTACCGTTTTGCAGGTCCTTGCCATGATCATGTGATAGTACTACAGTAACTAAATATCTGACTTACGAAGTCGTGCAGGTCACTGTTCTGATATCGTGTCATAAAATCAAATATTTGATACATCAATAAATCAAGTAAGAAAGATGGTGCAATATGTTTAATCCTTTTTCATAATCCGTACAATGACACTGCTACGCAACGACAAGCAGTTCTTGCCTTGGACTTGCCGAGGGAGTGTGACTGAATATAAGGACACACAAACCCGTAACCAGTGTGTGTTTTTATTTAGACAGTTAGACTGACTTGCTCCCAACGGGAAACCATAAGATTACAAGTAAAAACTATTAAAGACGAGATTTTGATTGAAGTTTGACTTATAAACAAATTCATCATAGATACCTGGATTAAAATTTTGCAAGCCACGCGTTTCGTCAGTGACACTCGAAAAAGTTAAAAAAAAGACCATATAAAGTACGAAGTTGAATAGCATTGAGGACCCAATCCAAATTTTGCCAAATACTGCAAACGTAATATGTTCCTGGGGTAGAACATTCTTAGTATTTCGAAAAATTCAAAATTTGGAAACAGCTAATTTATGATCGTTAGAGCTTCATGACTCAAAATAACTCCCGCGAGACATCCTGGCTGAGGTGCTGAATGGAATGGACCTGGAAACATGTATATGTATATAATGTACTGAAGGTCAACCGCGAGTCTTCATCAGTAACGTTGATAACTGAATGTAATATTTTAGAATCAGTCCATGTGTCTGGCTTAGTGCGATCCCAGAATTATATATTTGAACACACTTTTATAGAGTATTGATCCCTGCATAAGTAGCAATTGTCAAAGAATTTGTTTTTCATACTAGTAAATTATCATACGAGAGCCTGCAGTGATATGCCAGGTGTCCTGACTGATAACATTCTGAATCTGTGGTTGATTATTTCAAGAGAGGAAGGATAGGAAAATAGCAGTCCGACTGAATACTGTAATATGATATATAGAAGATAAAGAGAAACTGTAAATATAAAAAATGATTAGCAAAATAAGATCTTCAAATAGGTCAACGTGGTTGAAATCGTCATTCGACTCTTAACAGGTGTTACTGTCGTTGAATAACGATTTTCCCATTTTTTATACGACCGCAAACTATTTGCGTTCGTATAATGTCATGTTGTCAGCATCGTCGTTGTCCGAAGGCATTTGGTTTCCAGACAATAACTTGAGTATAAGTGTATGGATCTCTATGAAATTGTACCACAAAGTTCCATACCAAAACAGGAAGGTTGCGATTGATTTTGGGGGTTACGGTCCAAAAAGTTTAGGAATAAGGGGCCAAAAACAAGCATTTTTCTTGTTTCAGGATAATAACTTGTGTATAAGTGTATAGATCTCTATGAAATTGTACCACAAGGTTTCGTACCTCAAGAGGAAGGTTGGAATTGATTTTGGGAGTTATGGCCCAAACCATTTAGGAAATAGGGGCCAAAACAAAATAGGATTTTCTGGTTTCTGGACAATAACTTGAGTATAAGTCTATGGATCCCTATGAAATTGTACCACAAGGTTCCATACAAAAAAAAGAAGGTTGAGAATGATTTTGGGGGTTGTAACCCTAACTTTTTTGGGAAAAGGGGCCAAAAAACATTATTTTTTTAATACTTTGTATAAATTGCTCATTTCTTGAGCAATTTCCATTGTGTTTAATTCAAAGTCTTGAATTCTTGGGGTTCTTTATTATTCAGAATCTAATCCTGTATTCAGATTTTGAATTTTGGCCCCCGTTTTTAAATTGGTCCACGTTAATGTCCAAAGGGCGCAAAATTAAACTTTGTTTCATTTCAACAAAAATTGTATTCTTGGGGTTCTTTGATATGCTGAATCTAACCGTGTAATTTAGATTTTGGATTTTAAGCCCGGTTTTCAAATTGGTCCACATTAAGGTCCAAAGGGTCCAAAATTAAACTTAGTTTGATTTAAACAAAAATTGAAATCAAGGGTTTTTGATATGCTGAATCTAACATGTATTTAGATTTTGTATTTTTGGCCCATTTTTCAAGTTGGACCACATCTGGACCCAAAATTAAATTTTGTTTGATTTCAACAAAAAATAAATTGATGGGGTTCTTTGATATGCTGAATCTAACTGTGTGTTTAGATTTTGGATTGTTGGCCCAATTATCAAATTTGTCCAAATCGAAGTCCAAAGGGTCCAAAATTAAACGTTGTTTGATTTCATCAAACATTGAATACTTGGGGTTCTTTGATATGCTAATTCCAACCATGTATTTAGATTTGGATATTGGGCCGTTATAGTATATGTCCAATTTCAAATTTTTATTTACTTAGACCACTTTTATAGTATGTCAGAAACCTATGCTATGTCAAATATTCAATCACACTCCAAATTCAGATATGTATTGCACAATTGATAGAAATTAAAAGTAGATTCATAGTTAAAATTAGATATAGCATCATCATACTAGTATTCTAATTTCAGAAATTATATATAAATATAGTTTGAAGTTTACTATTCACTATTAGATATTTTGAAAAAATAATCAGAGGCTAGTTTTATAGTATTTTTTAAAGACAATGATTTGGAAATTGTTTTTTTTCATATTTTTTTTTTTTGAAGAACTCCGTGGTAGGTTTGTTTGTTATTCTGTATAGATTAGTTTTCAGAATACAATATCTTTTTATGAAGCGAAACCCTTTAAAAACTTAGCTAATATTGTCCATTGATAAATAAATAAGTTCAATTCTTGGTGTATTTGGATATTATGGTTCATTGATAAATAAATAAATTACATTTTTGATGTGCTTGGATATGCTGAATCATACCGTGTATTTTGACTTTGGATATTGGACCATAATAGGTAAAATCCAATATCAAATTTTTCAGTTCTTTGACCACATTCATTCTTTGACAGAAACCTATGCTGTGTCAAATATTTCATCACAATCCAATTTTAGAACTGTATCAAGCTTGAATGATGTGTCCATACTTGTCCCAACTGTTCAGGGTTCGACCTCTGTGGTGGTATGAAGCTGCGCCCAGCGGAGCATTTTATTTTTTCCGAGGTGTGCCTTTATGATTATTTTTACTCTATTAAAATTCCACATTGTCATATCCACTCCTTTCACATAATGTATTTTGTCTAAAGTAGACCTTGATATGCAAATATGTGCATGTTGTAAGACGTATGATGTGTTTAATTATATATAAAAATGCAAGCTATAGTAATACCATATGATGCAAATGTCAGTTTTGAAATCAAATATGTTCATTTCAGATATGATTTTGCTGTAGGAAAAATGTCATGGGTGACATGGATTCAAAAGAACAAGATAATATGAATCGTGTGAATGACGAAAAAGGTTTGGAAAATATAAGAAATGCTGAAGTTTCAAAAGATGATGTCAATAATGACAAAATGGAAACTAAAAGGAATAATTCATTAGTTGTTGGTCCAAATGAAAAGGATCAAGATGAAAGTAATTTGGTGATCGACCTAGATCAGTCAACGAACAAATCACAGCAGGCTGCAAAAGAAAAGAAGATCGAAAATGTTATAATTGATAGAAATTTATGGGATTCAACCCTTGACGAATTATTCAAAGCACAACCTACCACGACAGTTGATTCATCAGTACAAAATGAAAAAAGTGAAGATAAGAAGACCCCTAATGATTCTGTGAACGAGTCAGTATGTGGAACACAATACAAAACAAGACGTGAAAAAGAAAATGATGCAAATGAAAAAGAGCTTGTATCTATAAATGAAGAAGTAGAACATGTTGAAAAAACAAAGACAGTAGAAGGTAAAAAAGACAACCCACATACAATAGAACATGTCGTATATCTAGACGGCATTGAGATGAAAAAACAGGACAAAGCAAAAATTGTTGACCAGCAAAATGAATGTGAAACGACAAATGCTGAAATAGATAACAAATTTACAATGGAAATGGATGAAACTGACGGTAATATCGAGGCCACTGTGAATGTCAAACAAAGTTATAAATCAGTTGGGGAAACTGACCCGATTCCAGTAGAAGATGTAGAGAATGGCGTTAATTTTGAACAAACCACTGGAAAACAAGGTCTTAAAATTGTAGAGACAAACAAGAGTATACACGTGTTGTCCAAATCAGATGAAATAAACAAATCTGAAATGAATTGTGATGGAGGAAGCAAAGAAAGTAAACAAGTACCAGAAAAAAAGAGATGTATACTTTCAAATGGTGAAATATCTGGTAACAGCAGTGATTCTTTTAATACGACGAGAAAAGAATGGAATCACCAGTGTGTTGAACAAAAAGTACTCGAAAGTAAATCGAATTATCTTTGTAAACAGTGTGGAAAATGCCAGTGTGTATGTTCAGAAGTACCCAATAATACACCTCAAGCTGCAGACAAAAAACAGGGACAGAAAATATCAAGTGTTGCAAATGCAGCAGCCAAGCAGCAACAAGCTTCCGCAGCTTGGTCACGTCTAGGTGTATTAAGATGTGAACATTGTAAATTTACAACCGATGATGTATCATTGATTGATTCCCACAATGTTATATGTTCCAAAAAGTCAGTTAAAACTAAAGTAATGCTTTCATATTCGGGTGAAAGGTTTAATTGCCAAACATGTGGATACCCAACATCCTCACGAAAGAAATTTGAGGAACATATTGCACTTCATCTTATGATTCGACCATACATATGCATGACTTGTGACATAACATTTGAATCGAAAAAAGAAATAGAATTCCATGTAAAAATGAAACATGCAAATGACGCTGTAAAATGTGGACTGAAAGGTTCAAAAAGAATTGGACAAATAATTGACTCCTTGATAAATTCACAAAAACACGAATTTCTTGGTCGAACCGTTGATAAAAGAATGGTGCAAAGTTTTTTGGAAACCAGCAGACCAAAGGAGAAAATAAACACTTCAGCTTGTGTTGTCCCGTCATCTTTGCAGACAAATGTATCGGTTAACACCAGAGAGTCGGTTTCGAGTAACTTTATACCAGTATCGAATGATGCAGATGTCATTTTTGTTTCTTCAGCATCAAGTGGAATAACCACAACTTGTGTACCTAGTAATTTACTGTCAAACCAATCTGAAACAAAACTTGTAGGTCAAGCTGTACCTCTGACTACACAAAGACCACTTATACTTGTACCAGTGAACAATATGAACACGAACATGTTGGTACCATTGTCAAATGTTGTATCTCAAACAAACATTCATAATGTTAACACAGCTTCGTCTCAATCAGGAGTGTCTGTCTCGACATTGTCTGGCAGCAACCAGTTCATCAATCTTGCACCAATGCAATTTGCATCGCAGAATATCTCTATTTCAGGAAATGCAGTGAACACAAACACTGTCCAGAGGCTTCAAGGGAATACAATTCAAACAACGACATTGCAAGGAATTAATAGTAATACAGTACTACCCAATGTGTTGCAGGGTATTCCAGGAAGTGCCATACAGGTGAATAATATGCGTACAATTCAAGGAAAGGCATTTCAAACAAATACTTTCCAAGGAGTTCAGGGAAATGCATCACCGATGTCTGGACTTTCTCAAAATGTGAATTTCCAAAATAATGCAACACGCTTTGTTTTACTTCCACAGACAACAATAACTCCTGTCGCACGTTCACAAGCTCCCTCAACAAACCAACAAAATAAGTCAATTACAAACATTTCAGGTGTTATACTTAACCACGCTCCATTGATGTCTTTGATTAACCCAACAGTAGTTCAGACTCCAAATTTGAATACGTATACAGTTACACCAGGACAGACAAATACAGCAACGTCCATTTCGAAGGAATCCTCACTGTCTGCTCAAAATATAAATTGTGTTGTACCGGCAACAAAAACGTCTACAGAGGTCATGGCTAAGACGGACAAAAGTACTTCTGAAGAAATGAAATCTTCCATGGTTGAAACTAATGGAAACAAACTGTATTTCAGGAAATATGGAGAATTGTATATGTGTGATTATTGTAAAAGTGAGACACCTCTTGAGGATTCATTCAAAGAGCACATCTGGAAACATTTTCATCAGATGCAAAAAATATGCAAAGATTGTCCACCGACTTACAATGTATCTGCTCAATGTAAGATTGTTCTGAAAGTAATGATTGGACTGCTTAGTTCTTCAACAGGATCACAACTTTCGATAAAAGATAAATCACAATTGTCACCACCCAAAGAAGTGGTTACAATATCTGATGATGAGGACGTTGGAGAAGGTAAAATGAAAGTAGACAAAGATAAGAAAGAGCTAAATGTTGATGTCCGTCCAACGAAAGAGAAAAGATCTGACACAGTGAAAATTGATTCTGCATCAGAACCTAGTGGAGAAGAAGGGCTTCAATTGAAAATAACAAGTACATTTAGTCTAAGTGATACAGGCAAGTCAACTAAGAAAACAGAATCCATTCCCCCAAAACAACACGAAGAAGGCATGGAAGACTTTGAAAAGAATGACACAAATAGCAGAAAGTCAATTAATCCATATAATGATCAAGCAGCACCACCGACAATACCGGAAGATTCAAGTAAGATGGAAAAGGCGCTAGAAACAATCAGTTTAGATTCAGATGACAGTAATTCAAGTGACGCCTATAAAAGTAAAACACGGATAGTGGAAAACGATTTCAACGTTGAAGAAGGTGAAAAAAGCTTTAATAAAACACATGATAATGAGAAAAACATCTTAAAAGAAAATGAAATGCTTATTGAAGAAAGTCCATCACAGTCAAGTACAAATGGAACCGAGGATGACATTTTGAGAGAAACTAGAACGGTCAGTAGTAATAATGAAGAAATCGAAAGTGTAGGACAATCACTGCAAATACGAGATATAAAGGCTGTAGCAGCCAATATTAAGGAAGAAATTGTTAATACACATCAGGACTCGTCGCAATTACTGTTCAGCAAAGTAAAGACGGAAGATGCACTTGCTAGCACTTGTGATATTGATAAAAAGCCAATAGCATTTCCTTTGGTTGCATTCTATAAATGTGGCTTTGAAAACTGCACCTTTGAAACAACCACTTCCCAAGAATTTCGAGAACATCTCGGTCAATCTCATGGAGATGCTGTAGAATACAAATGTGCTCATTGCGGACAGAAAAGTTTTACTGAAGACTCTCATATTAGACATTTACTTTTTCATTCAAAACCACAGAACTCACTGCTTTTTCAGTGTGGGGTTATTGGATGTCGATTTCGAGCTAATTTATTGCACCATTATAAAGATCATTTGGAACTGTCTCATCAGAACGTACTGCTACACAGATGCCATTCCTGCAAAGAAGGTTATACCTCTGTAGATCTACTAATAGAACACTTGCAAAGTAATCTTCTGAAATTTGTACAGTGTCCATACTGCACAATGAAAGATGGAATAAGAAGAAATGTTTTAAATCACATAACTGCTTTTCATCCAGGAAAACCAAGACAAATTAATGTCACAAGTCAACTTGTTTGTCAAGAGCGTGAAACAAACGAATTTGAAAAAGCAAAGTCCAAATTAACACAAGATCCTTCTACTTCTACATTAGCGAATCAGCAAAAGAAGTCCAGTCGAATTGAACCACTTAAACAGGGAAATAACCGAGGCATTGACGAAAGTTCCAAAATGACAGATATAATTGAGAATAATCCAGAAGATACAGAAATGATAAACAAGATAACATCGAATCCATCTATAATGGGAGCAACGTACTATAGATGTAATTCGTGCACATACATAGGAATTGGTCAAAATAAACTAATGAAACATATGGAGATGCATACATCAGCTTTTATTCAATCCGTTCAGAGGCCATTTATTTGTCCAGATTGCCCTCAAGCTGTTAATACATTACAGCAATTCATATCTCATTTGAATTTACACGTCGGGGATCACTTGTGCTATATCTACATTTGTCAGCATTGTGGATTTGGAACAAACCTTAGTAACAAAATAAATCAGCATACTACAGATTCTCATGGCCCAATTTCAGAAGGAAAAGATTATACACAGAGAACAATAAGATTCTCTGTAACAACGAAAGTTTGTGCAAAATGTAACGCTGCTTTCAAAACATCACAAGCTCACAGAGACCACGTGCTGAAATCACATGGCATAACAACTAATGAAATTTCTGGAAAAGATGATTTAGAAACTGAGCAATGTGGGCAAAATATTGCATCTGCCAATAACAAAATTTCAAAAGAAAATGATGATGAATCGAATCCAAGACGATTTACCTGCAATGAATGTGGATGGGCTTCCAAAAAGCTTCCCTACTTAAAGTCGCACATGAGAAAACATTATCCCGGACAAGATAGATGTCAGATAACTTTATTTAAATGCAATTACTGTGATTTTACCTCTACTTCTAAGTTAATCATCAGTGCACACTCTCAGAAAAAACATCCAGGGAAAATCGTGAGACCTAGACGTGTAATGGAAACTGTATATATAACGGATTCAATAGAAGACGATATGTCTATAGACAAGTTTCATTGTGATTTGTGTACTTTTAGTTCAGAAAAAGTTTCTGGTCTTCAAAATCATCTTCTTAGTTCTCATTCAGGCGCTAAAAACAAAGCAAAAGATGTTTATTCAGGACCAAAGCAGGAATTTTTAATTCCTAGTGGAACTGTTTTTAAAGAGTTTATCCAGTGCCCACTTTGTATTTTTAAAACGAAGAAAAGAATTGAGTTACTTAGACATATCAAAAGTCATCCATCTTTAGAACCTAAGACAGAATCGGCCACAGAAGTTCAAGTTAGCGATAGGGTGCAAAATCCACTTTTTTTCAAACTAGGAGGAAAAAGAAGAATTAGCTCAGATTTGAACCCTGTAGTAAAGAAACCTCGACCAGTTTCACCAACAATATCCTACGATCGGATAATGATGGATAGTGCAAAACGAGACACAGGATACCGTAAACAAGTTGCAACAAAATCAACAACTAATCGACCTTCTATTGGTGTGAAATCTATGTTGTACTACCTTGGTGGAGAACAGCTGCACATGAAGCTGAAACCTTGTTTTTCAGAATTTAAGCAATCTCCACATTTTACATGCTTGATATGCAGTGAAGTTGTTGATGATAAGTACAAATTACACAAGCATGTTTTGCAGCATATGAACGTATACTTCTACAAGTGTGCATACTGTGACCATGGGACATTGGATCAAACAACCATTATGGTACACATACAGAGAGAACATAGAAGAGCAATTCAGTACAGTAAACTAGACGTGGAAGAAATTGACAGCCATATAAACAAAGCTATTCATGGTATGAAATCTCAGGTTGGTTCTGGACAAGAAAATATTGTTTTTGAAGAGATGCATAAGGATACAAAATCTGAAAAACTTAATACAACTGACGAAAAAGATGTGAACAAAGTACTTGAAAATGAAACAGTTATCGAGGTAAAAAGTAAAAATGACGAAGAGATAACAGTTGAAACTCCAAAGAAAGAACGATTTACACATGACAAAAAATGCAATCAAGAATCAACGGAGATGGGGTCACCAAAATCGGATACACCATTAATAAAACATGATATGGAGTCACCTTTACTTAAAGAAGGACCGTTTCAATCAGAAAAGGCAAAAACATCTCCAATGAGGTCAACATCATCAAAACTTGAAAAAATATTTCCAATAAAGTCAGCATCATCAAATCTTGAAAAAATATTTCCAATAAAGTCATCATCGTCAAATCTTGAAAAAATATCTCCAATAAAGTCAGAATCGTCAAATCTTGAAAAAATATCTCCAATAAAGTCAGCATCGTCAAATCTTGAAAAAAAATCACCTCAAAAACCGCAGATATCGGCTCAAAAATCTTTGAAAAGGGAATGCACTTTTCAACACTGGGGAAATGTTAGCGATACTACAAAGGAAGAACCAGAAAGAAATGAAAATGAAAGGGAGGATGATGATACAGTCAGAGAGGAGATGGAAATACTTCATCCAAGAATTAAAAGGGAAAGAAACTATTATGTCTGTACAATTTGTGCATTGAAGCTGACACAAAAGAGTGCTGCAAATAAACATATATGGACGCATTCATCAGTCAGACGATTTATGTGTTCAATTTGCAAGCATTTATCAAGGTGGCGTGGTGATATAACAAAACATATGGATCAAAAGCATAAATCAGAAAAGGCAGAATGTTTATGGGATGATATAACCCCGTGTGACATCACTGAGGATGGTTTGCCCTACAATGCTTTAGCAAAAGTAAAGTTTCTTTCAACATTCAATACAATTAAATCTGAGACATTAAATAGTGAGCAAAAACTTGAAAGTGATATTTCAGATATAAAGATTAGCAGTCCGATAAAACGACCACTTAAAATAAAATTAAGTGTCTCAAAAATTGAAGATAAAAAGCAGGTTGATGAACAAAGGGAATTTAAAAAACTTTACAAGTGCCTGATATGTAAAAAGACCTTCAAGTCGAAATATGCTATCTATGGGCATTTTCGTGTTGAATGTAAAAGACCAATGTTTGGTTGTCCTTCTTGCAAATTCAAAGACCCTGACGAAAAGACGGTTAAAAAGCACACAAAGACCAAGCATGGAGTAAGCAATGGTGAAATAACAATCAAAACAAGAAATGATAAAATAAGAATGTATAAAGTACGCTGTGGCGAAAGTGGGATCAAAAGTGAAGACAACAAAAAACAATTATCGGGGGGCATAGCATTCAAGTGTAAAGCATGTAAAAGAACATTCAAGAATAGAAATGCGTGTATGTATCATGCAATATCAGCATTGTGTAACAAAATGTTGAAAGGTTGTTCACATTGTGATTATAAAGATATGTCAACTGATAATGTAGAGTCGCACATAAAGAAAGTCCACAAAGAAAAGAATGTAAAGGTTATGGAACTACCAATGGAAGCTAAAGTAGAAATGATTAGCACACCACCATCGACGAAGATGAATGTTACTAACTCTGGAACAATAGCATTTTTCAAGAAGGGAACCAGTGGTTACACTTGCCGATTGTGCGATTTTAAATGTAAGAACTCCACAGCAGTTATCAAACATCAGAATATGCACAATGCCTCTCCAAAGTATGGATGTCCATACTGCGACATGAAATCTAACTGGTCTAAAAGCGTAAAAAATCATGTCAGCCTAAGGCATCCAGAACAGGAACAAATAGTACAAAGTTTAAATCAGAATACCGGGCAGACCAGTTTGAAAGATAAATCAACGGACATCACAAGTACAGTATCAAAAACAACAGAAGATGATAAAGGAAATAAGTGCATAATGCACAAATGTCTTCAGTGCAACTACAGATGTGGAACTTACTCTGGTGTTTCACGACACATAAAAAGAAATGAAAGTTGCAATGTTCCACGCTTTAAATGCATTGATTGTCACAAGTTCACTAGTTTAAATGAAATCGAAGTAAAGGAGCATATGCGTACTGCTCATAATTCTAAGAAAACTCCAGGAATATGTTCTTTAAAAGAAATGACAAAGATGATAATTGTGAGGAAAAACTCATCAACCAGAACACCGGCTCTTTCTGAAAAAGATTCTTCTACAGATAAATCCAGAATTGCTGATAAGTTTTCTGGAATGAAAGACATTGAAACCAAGGTAATAAAGTGTCCTGTACTTAGCTGTAACTGTAAGGACAAAATCATAAAAGTCATTGAACACTACAGGAGAGAACATCCTTCAAAAGTCATGAAGTGTAAAATGTGTACCATGTCCAGTAAATCGTTAGGAACTATGTTTAAGCACTTTCAAGAATTTCATAAACTAGAAGAATATTTTTCAACAAACTTTCTCACGTGTTCTGGAACTAGAGATGAAATAAAATCGAAAAGTATGAAAAATGACATTCTAACCAATGATAATATACGAGAGCAGGAAGTAAAGACGAACGCTCATAAACTTTATCACTGTGATAGATGTGAATTTGTATCCAAAGCGAAAAACTCAACAAGACGTCATATCTACAGACATATGAATTATAAGAGATACCTTTGTAGGCTTTGCAAAGCTGAGTTTCTCGATAGAAGTGCTTGTGAAAACCACATGGCAATCCATAATACCGAATCAGAAGAATTTGATAAAATAACAAATGAAAGGCTAGAAAAAGAAGTGGAAGGCATATTGGAAAATAATATGGTGTTGGGATCAAAAGAGTCTGATAATTCAAATTCTATTGAGAGAGTAAAATCGAAAAAGAAAGAAGATAACTCGGAAACAATCTCAGAAACAAAATCTAAGACCAAGCAAAATATGAAATCTGACTTCAAGAACAAGAACGAAGTTATTAAAGGTTGCAAAGGTGCTATTAGCAATAAAGTTGAGAAGAAAAGAACCTCAGATATTCAAAAGGTTGATTTCACAAATTTAAGTGCAGATGCTTTTAATCAAGCCAACTTCATTAGGGAGGAGCGAAACAAAAACACGCAAGAAATTGAGTTTTTGTGTACCAAATGCCCATACAAGTCAATAGCTAAACATTGTGCCTTGTGTCATACCTACAGACATATGCCAAAGTGTATGAAGTGTCCATATTGCAATTTCCAGAGCTATCCAAGGTAAGCAACTTTAGTCCGTCAGTTGTTCTGACATGATAATTAACATACCTATGTATACAAATATAACATCTGTGGATAGGTTTAGAAATTATAAGGATCTAAGAACTGAGGTTCAAACTCCTTAAGTTGATCTTAGGTGGATTTGGCTATTTTAATAAGGTCCCTTTTGGTCATTAAGGCGCTTTGAAACAGTAAATTTATAAAGTATTTATTATTATTTACCACATATTAAATACCGCTTTGTGATGTCTTGGGAAAGCTAAGACAAAATACCAGACAATTCCCTTTAGCCTGTAGATCGAGGAAATATTGAACAACCCATTTTGAAGCAAGGTTGGCAAAGTATTAAACGGTTGGGGAATACAGGGGTTTCCCAGAATATGCAACACTGGACAATATGATTTTTTGACACATTATAAATGCTAAATAAAAACTCTTAAGATGCAGTTCTCCCAGACTCGAAGAGATGAAAAGACTGTTAAATAAACAAGTCTGTTTGAAAAGTTCGAATTTGAATATTAGTCGTGTAGTCCTTTTTTTGCTTTTCAAAATTTATTTTAACTTAAAATGAAGTAAAAAACTCATCAAAGATATCAATGGATAAAAATTAGGTACGCCAGACGTGCGTTTCGTCTGGAAATGACTCACCAGTGACGCTCGAATCAAAAGAAGTTAATAATGCCAAATATTGTACGAAAATGAAGAGCATTGAGGACCAAAATTCTGACAGGTTTTGCCAAATAAAGCTAAGGTTATCTATAATATTCCTGGTACTTCTTTCTTCAAGTTTACACATTTCCTTGCAAATGAAACATTCATATCCAATGAAATGTACCTGTTTTATTTATCTTTTGCATTTGTATTTGATAATTCGTTCTCTATTATTTCTGTGTGATAAGATATAATGACGCTAGTCATTATTTCATATTGCCCAATATTACCCAATCAGAATTAATTATAATTGATAATTTTCCTGAACTTGTAACCGATTTTTAAGCAACCTGACCACGAGTGTCGGGCTTAGTTTTTAACATCGGAAGTAAAAGAAAATGGAAATCAAAATCTTCAAATGAATCACTGAACTTATTGAAAAATACTAGTAATCAGGTAGACAGACTCCTTGTGACGTTTTGAATGAAATTATTTACTTTTGAGCTGATTAAACACCGTTTGTTGTAATTAATTAGGGAATTAATTTTCATTGAAAGCCATAGATAATGAAAGGTTTTTTATCTGCAGAACTACTGAACAACTGACTTCAAATATGACAAACGTAAATTTATAGTCTAAACCGACTATTTTCACTTTGATGTTGATTTGGCAAGCATTTTGACCGCCTGTTGATATCAACCTTAAGCAAGACAATTGAAATGTGAATAGTTTTGTTTTGAAGGCTCATTGAACCATAAGCAACCAAATAGTATGGTTACATTCTAGGTACTTACTCGTCCTGAATATGCATGAAATATTTGCCACTGGACGTTAAGCAACCAACAATCAATCAATCAATTCTAGGTACTTACTGTTAATACAACTTGATTACCGACTAACTATATATCGCAGACCTAAAATTAGTCTTTAGGAATAAGACATCATGATGATTGATCCATTATAATTCATTCACAATTTTTTTAGATTCGGGAATAAAAAAAGCCTTCCATACTTTACAAACAGTGATACCTGTATATAGTTGCAGACTCTTCTTTGGGGGTTTTGTGTAGTCTGGTTACTGTTTCAATGGCTACTATTGTGGTTTTTTTTAACGACCTTGACTATCCATAAGGTCGGTCCAGACGATCAGTCCAGACGATCAGTCCAGACAATCAGAAAACATCTCTTTGTATCAGTGTATTGAAAACAGGGGCACAAGGGAAAGTGAAAGTTTTGTAACCCAGTGTTGTGCAACCATATGGCAACTAGCTGGGAATAGTTTTAACATCGAAATCTATGAAATAGTTGTACTAGTAGAAACCAATATGTTTTCTAAGAAATCTGCTTAGACAGATCCTTTGTATCACTTTTGGTTCAGATGTAAAGTTGTGTTTTAAAAGGGGACTCTGTTGCATTATTGAAGATGCAGCAGAAAATACTTTTTTCATGCGTTGTAAATGTCAGTATTATTAAGTACTAGTATATTTATTACATATGTTTCTTCAAATAACCGTTTTTTTCCAATTTTGACTATTAAATCAGTCTTGATAGTTTTTTTTTTTCCAATTTTGTTTATTCAAGGTCGGATATTACTAGGCACGTGAGAAATACGCATGCAGATAAAGCTGTTCATGTTATTGATTTACGCCACCAGACATTGGATGGAAAAGAAAAACCAAGATCCCCAGATAAAAAACGGAAGAAAACATTCCTCGACTTTGATGCAGAAATTTTCACATCTGAAGGCTCATCTGATGAAGAAGAAGAGAAGAGACGAAAAAAGCCTTTACAGAAAACTTCTGGAGGAAGTGAGTCTCCTAAAAGTGAGTATTTTGATAATTTGATAAGATACTTAGCTGATAGTCGTGCAACATAAACCGCTGGAGGTTACACATATTTGTGCCGTATATGACAGCGTTAACAGTTGCAAGTACTTTTGTCTCATTCTTTTTGATTCAGGTCAAACACATTTCAAGGACACTTTTCTTCAGACAGTCACTGTCAATGGCAGCTGAGCTATTTTTCTGATCTTGATGGAGTCAAAAAACGAGACATAGGTATGATATTTGGTATACAGTTGTATTAGTTTCGGCACATCTCGTTTCCATGGAGATTATTTGGCTCCGCCTCCTCAGTCACGGTCTATTGACTTGGAAACTTTTGTTTAGTTACATGTATTTGTCTGTGATTATGTCAGTATATGGACAACCACTATTGGTAGGTCAATGATATTTGGTATGCAGTTGCATTATTTTGGCACTTCTCATTTCCAGAGATTGTTTGGCCCTTTACCTTCAGTCATGGTTCATTAACCTTGAATATTTTGCATAACTTACAGGTTAAACTATTGCTATTTTAATTTTCAACATTTGCATTTTACTATCAAAATAACAAAAAGGCGAGACATATCTCTGTGTTAACAGTTTATTATGCATTGTTGAACACAATACTTTGGGATGCTTATTATGTGACGGCGTAAATTAATTATTAAAAATATACTTCAGCCTTATGTTCCGAAGTTGTCGTATGTCATATACCTATTGTCCTTGATCACATGTTCATGGTTCTGGTTCAGCGAATTAAAAAAAAAGCTGTATAGTTTTTTGTTTGTTTTTTTACTAATTCTTTGTTATTATGAATAATAGGATAACTATTTTTGGTAAATTGGATCCTTGCAAGGCCTACAAGTTCATCAGACAGGGTTCACCTGACCTCGTCGTCATTTTATTGATCAGTGATCATCAGGTCGTTATCTCAGATACTATAAGCAGTAGGTCATTTACATTTGGTGTACAGATTGGAATGATTGTAAGGTATGCATGTCCGTCTGGCATGTTTCATCTTACATTATCTTCATTTTCACGGTGCATTGGTCAATATTAAGTCTCTGTGTTTTAATCCGTTTCTCAGATACTATAAGCAATAGGTCAACGATATTTGGTGTATTGAAAGATTGTATAGTGTGCATGTTTGTCTGGTAGTGGTCATCTGACCTTGACATCATTTGGTTCATGGTTCATTTGTCCATGTTAAGTTTTCATGGTAAGGTATATTTCTCAGTTACTACAAGTTATAGGTCAACTATATTTGGTTTATAGAATGATTGAATGATGTACAATATATCTGGCAAGTTAATCAGACTTTGACCTTATTTTAATGGTTCAAAAGTCAGTGGTAAGTTTTCTTGGTTATGTCTCTTTCTCAGGCACTTTAAGCGATAGGTTAACTTTATTTGGTGTATGGAATGACTGTATGGTCCACACGTTTGTTTAACAGAATTTATCTGACCTTGACCTCATTTACATGGTTCATTGCTCGAAGTTAAGTTTTCTTGGTTGTGACTGGTTCTCAGATAATATAAGCAATAAGTTAACTATATTTGATGTATGGAATGATTGTAAGGCGTACATGTCCGTAGGAGATGGTTCATCTGACCTTTATTTCATTTACATGGATCATTGATTATTGATTATGTTAATTTATGTATTTCATAACTCTTTCTTAAAGTCTTTCAGCATAAATTCAATCATGATCAGTAAAGCAGTCTAGACTTTTCGCCATGTGTACTCTTGTTAAGAAGTACTCCTCATTGAATATACTTATATACAATAACCAATTACAATTAACAATATTTGGTATTTAAACCCCGAAGAAGTATAGAAGCGTTTTTGGAAAGATTTGAACGTTTTCCAATTTTTTCCCAAGGCATCACCTCGCAAGGGAGTGTTTTATTGGTTTACATCTGTCAGTTTGTTCTTTAATTTGTCGCATTTTTCTGAGTACCTACAAATTTGAGCTCCCTGAAATTGGTATCAACCTTTCTGGTAACATGCTATACCGTGTGACGGGATTTTACATCCATTATTCATTAACTTCTTATGAGCATGCTATTCTTACACAAATTAAAGGTTCCAGAATTAAATGCATTCGGGAAGGGATGCACTATTTTAAAACCTACAACGCCCATGAAATAAAAAAATTCATTTTACTTTAATTCTTACAAAATTTCAAGGAAAATTCCTCCTCCATCATGGTTCATTGACTGAAACTTGCAGAGTGTACATGTTAAAGTTGGTGATAAGGTCAATTTATATAGTAATATAACAGAATTATACGAGGTTAACATACATTGTTGTTTTCAACGAATAGTTTGATATATTTTTTTTTAAAAAAACGTTTTAGCCGTATTTGACACAACTTTTTGGAATTTTGAGTCTTCAATGCTCTTCAACTTTGTACTTGATTGGCTTTATAACTATTTTGATCTCAGCGTCACTAATGGGTCTAATGTAGGCGAAACGCGCGTCTGGCGTATTAAATTATAATCCTGGTACCTTTGATAACTATTAAGAACAATGGCAGTGAAATGAAAATAAACCATGCAGGAATTTCTTTAGAAGGTACTTGTTTTTACTTAGGTCTTGATGAAAAATCCCAATATGCTTCAAGGAGTAAGAAACGGGATTCATTGATCCAATATTCACTGGTATTGCAAATGAAGGCTTCAATAGAATGAAATAACTCGAACAAGGAAGAAGCATTAATTTCTAAAAATTTAAGGCCTATTGATTTGTATACAATAATCCCATGTTTGGGCATTTAGATACGGATGTCATTGAAGTTATTTATGTCATTAGACGTATGAAACTATTTCTTGTGTTTTTTTCAGCTGATGATAAAATTAGGAAGATCATTTACTCGTGCAACTTGTGTGATTACAGTACAGATGTTCTGTACCTTTACCGACAGCACCTAACATTCCATCCGGGTTTCAAACATCAAATACAAGGAACATCTTTAGAATCGAAAAACAAATGTGGATATTGTGGCTATATTGCGACCAATAGCAAAGAATTTGATAAACACATGGAAAGACACCTAAATTCCCGACCGTATAATTGCCCCTATTGTCAGTTTTCTCAGTATAATCAAGCTTCTGTTCGATATCATATCCAGAATAAGCACCCTGGGGAAAAAGTAGAAGTTCTTAAAGACAGATCAAGTAGCTGCCTTACTGGTGATGGCAAGATTCCAAAAGTCATGCTTGTAAATATAGAACCAAATATTTTATTAAGAGACATATTTACAATGGAATCTGAATCATTTGAAGAATTGCTGATCAATGCCAATGTTAGTGTAATTGATCTCCACAGTATTCCAGACGAACAATTTGGTAATGTTTCTAAATTGCTTGGAGTTAATGGTGATGAAGATGAGTGGAAGCCATCTCCACAGAAGAAACGTAAAGTGATAGAAGAAACAGAGGAAAGTGATGAAGAAGGAAGAGACCATTCGGATATGGAAGTAGATGCGCGTAATTATTGTGATGCATCTGACCACGATACAAATTCAACGAATGATGGAACTCATATTGCCGACGACGAATCTCGTAATGGCGAGGGAGAACATATTTCCGAGGAGAAATATAGAAACAAAGGAGACAAGTCAACTGACAAAATTGTAAACGAGAAGAAAAAATCAACTGAAATGAATACTCCCTCGACAACCAATGTATCTAGTACAGAATATGAAGATATCAGTGATACAGAAATGGACTCTGAAAATGGTGCTATTTTTAAAATGAATGAACAAAAGTTTTATGTAAAAAGTGAACTTACATATGAGGATATTAGTGACACTGATGACTTGTGAATGAACAAATATTATGTTAATCTTGTTTTGTTATGTAAATACATCGAGCATAGTTATGCTGCATCATAAATATCTATCTATTTCCCAGGGACTATACATTTTTGTAGTGCTACAAAACAAGTATTGTAATTTAATAGAACCTCGTTGTACTTACAGATATGCTCAATATTTACTTTAGGTTGGTTTTTTATTTAATTTTGTACAATTTTACACAAATTTTACAAGAGGTTGAGATCTTTTTTTTTTCATAATAAAAATGTCTTATATCATAAGCTTGATAAGTGAGATTACCACTCCAACTTTGCTTACTAATTTTAGCCTCACCAACTTTACAGGTTGTCTTAGAACCAAAACAATTAATTAACTGGAAATGCTAATCTACTGGTAGACCTAATTATTAAAGTTGCATTAAATTTACTACTATTTCCTGTAGATGTTGTGGTACTCCCTTGGTTGACAATTCGTTAAAGTTGCTTAGTTATTGGGTTTTGGCCATCTTGGCGAAGGCGGCATCAACATAGTATTAGTTTGTGACTAGGTCAGTTTAAGGGAAACACTAGAGGTAGGTCAAAGATAGTTGGTATGCAGTTTTATAAGCATTGGCATGTCTCATTTTCAGTAATTGACGAGTCTTTTGTAGAATAAACGCGGGTCTGGCGTATAAGATATTAAGCCTGGTATCTTTAATGAGTGTTTTTCATTGAGACTGCCCCTCAGTCATGATCTATTTACTTTGAAACGTTTGCTTATTTTACATGTATTAGATTGTGGTGAGGTTATTTTAAGGGTATCCGCAGTGGAAGGTCATTGATATTTGGTATGTAGTTGTATTAGCATTGGTACATCTCACATTTCCATGGAGATTATTTTGGCAATGCCCCCTCAGTCATGGTCTATTGACTTGCATAGTTTACATCTTAAAGTTTGTGATGAGGTCGTTTTATAAGATGAACCACTAATGATAAGTCAACGATATTTGATGTGCAGTTGCATAAGCAATTGGCATATCATTTCCATGGAGATTATATGGCCCGCCCCCTCATTATGGTTCATAGACGTCGAAACTTATTTGCTAAAATCGCCTGTTACAAAAAACTGAGCAGGTTCATCGAAAAATAGTCGTGTGATAACCACTTTTCAACCTCCACGTTGAAGCAACAACTCTCCTGAAACTCTCCTATTCCTAGAAAAGCAAAAATTGATAGACAGTTCGATCGAATTAGATTTTAACGAGAAATGAATCATAGTAACTCACCTGGTTAGGAAATCCCAGGCAGAACATAAAAACAATCGCATTACAAAATTACAAAATTTAAGTGGTGATTCGTCCAATACAAATTGGTTGAAATCTGTTGAGCAATATTCGGGTATGAAACCAATTAAGTGATGCTACCCATTGTAAGGAACGTAACAGTAGTTTTCGACGATGATTAGGCGAAGGTTAACCATTCGTTTGCTTCACAGTCTAGTTGGATGACGTTAGGGACCAAATGATGATGTTAATAACTTAAACGAGAACTTGATCTTAACGAAGCAGAAAAAAAAAACACTTTAAGATATTCTAAATCCTTCTAAATAATACGGTCTATTGAAAGGAGGAGCATCAATACTTAATATTCCGTAACGTTTTTATGTCAAGTAAAAACTCTTATCAAAGATATCGATACCAGGCTTATAATTAATTACGCACGACGCACATTTCGTCTACATAAGACTCAGCATTAGCGCTTGAATGACCAAATCAATAAAAAAGTTTAAGAATTAAAGATAAAAAATTTGCAAAAGTTGTTCCAAATCTACGAGAGTCTAGATGGGGGTCCCTCTATTTTGTATTCATAAAATGTTTAAGCCTTTTTCTCTATTCTTTATATGTTTTGCCCGTTATTCTCTATTCGTTCTATTTTTACACCCCATTATTCTCATTCTTTTTTCTCTCCATTAAACTAATGTTGGTCCATTATTCTCTATTCTTTAAACCCCATTCAGACCCTCATATACGCCATGGGGCGGTAAAACTTTTGTGTTTCAAAATATTTTAAGATTTTATGAACAGTAAATTTACAAAACATGATTATCAATATATGGCTGAATATCCGAATCATTGATAAAAGCTAAATGTCACCTTTCTTTAGGAAGATTTAACGATCAAAGTAAAACAATAAAGACCAATACCTCTGCTTATTGTTCTATCAAAAGTTCTCCAAATATTAGTCACACCAACTTCATCAATCCATCATCATCATCATCACCATCTTTGAACGAATACAGACTATGACACATCAACTTGAATAATGTTCTAGAAGATATGATCTGAATAACCATGATCCTAGTATAATCTTAAATTAACAGATTACCTACATAAGCACAAAGTGTACGTATATACAGTGGGATTTCTAATGAACGAGAACAATAGAAAATTCACTCTTATGAAAGACCGAGAAAATCAATAATAAAACAATGCCGGTGACGATACTGATCAAAAGTTATTTCTAAACAACAATTGTATATATTAAAGAAATTATTTGTTTTAAACTCGGTTGTTAGAAATAAACATGCAAATACAAGATGTTAAATGTTCAGTATTTATCGAGATAATTGCATTAGAAGCTTGTGAAATTAAAACCTAAAAAATGTTAATCTTTGCTGCATATTGATAAATAAAAATGGAAAAATCATGTACATAAAAAAATCTAAAGATCTTTCGGGTCACTAATTTTTGGATTGTTCCACAAAGTCTTGAGCATGTTACAATTTCCCAAAATATACTTTTTTCACATGTAAGTTTTCGAATACATCGGTCTGCTCTTGTTACGGGAATATTTGATATAGAAATATTGTCTTTTCGTGAATATAACAATTTTAAAGTCTGTCTGTGCAGGTCCAAAAATTAAATATAAATATTTTTATAAAGTATAGGTATCTTTTTACTATTTTTTATACAATTTTAAGAAAAGTTCGTTTCGATTTTTGCACATGTATTTGCGGTCTTCTCGATCTATTCACATTCAATGTTCACATTGGGATAAGGTCCGTTTGAATATGCTTAATATCTTAATTTCAAAAATGTTAATCTTTGCTGCATATCCTTTGGAGTTTTTCCCTGAACTTTTCTGATCTATCTGCATATATATACGGATAATTAGCTTGTTCGAGAGAGGTATACAGCCAGTAGAAAAAGTAATTGAAGTCGGTACTCAAGGAATTTATTCGCATAGCAACATTTAAAACCAATTTTACATCAATCTCCTGTAGCCTGCTGTACTCGTCGTTTGCTATTTAAGGTGGAAAATGATAACATTAAATGGAAGTTTTGTTTTTATTTTCAACTTATTTCTATTTTTACTATTTACCAGAACGTTTTCCACTTTATAATTGATAGCGTCTTTGCTAAAACGGGACAAACATTGAAAAGATCTAGTTTTAAGTGTTTACCGGGGAGGTAATATTTAGTCACTAGATTTCCCACTATATAGTAATACCTTGTCTGTTTAGGTTGGGTAATTGAATTTGGAACATAGCATTGTTCATTGGGACTTTGTTGTCTTATGGTAGGAAACCAACCGTATGGATTGTATGTGACGACATGTCAATTCGTCCAAAGTGTAATTGTTCTTTAATGAATGTATTACTGATTTTTTTTATGAATATATATGACTGTAGTTTAAGACACATATATGCAAACAAAAATTACTGCAAAGAATAGTAAAAGGTTTTGTAGTAAATACCTAAATTTTGTTCAAAATTTTCTTTTTTAAATGCCTGTAAGACAATTTGTTTAAATATTTTGTAAATTTCAAACTGTCAAATCCCATAAAAGTTTGTGAATTTAAGGGTAAATATTCGATAACTGCTTCCGTTTTGATTACCCCAGGAATAGATTGCCTTACCCGTAGGTGGTACCATTTTTTTTGAAATTTTCGGGTTTAATGCTTAACTTCGTTTTTGATTTGGTCTTCCAACGATTTGGATTCGAGCACCACTGATGTGTCCTATGTAGACGAAACGTGCGTCAGATGTACCAAATTATAATACTGGTAACTTTGATGAGTTTTTCCAACCACTGGATCAATACAACTGGTGGTGGACGTATTACCAGTCCAGTAGTCGGCACTTTTGTTGTTGACATGAAATATCATTGATATGATTATTTTTGGAAAATTTACTGTTTATGAAATGTTTATATTCGGAACGACAACATGACGAAGGTTTGTCTACCCAAGGAAGAGATTTCCTTAGCCGTATTTGGCACACGTTTTTGTGATGTTTGGTTTTTAATGCAGTTCAACTTCGTATTTAAATTTGCCTTTCAACTGTTTTGATTCAAGCGCCACTGATGAGTCTAATTTCAACGAAACACGCGTCTGGCGTACCAAGTTATAAACCTGGTATCTGATGACTTTTAACGAACACTGGATCGATGCCACTGCTGGTACACGTTTCGTCCACTCAGGTGTCACCAGTCCAGTAGCTAGCACTTTTGTGTTGAAATGAAAAATCATTGATATATTCATTTTCGAAAAAAAATCACTGTATATAAATGTTGAATTGTTCGAAACATCAAGGTTTGTCTATCCACAGAAATAAATTGCCTTATTTGCAGTTGGCACAAATTTTTGGGAATTTTCGGTTTTCAGTGCTCTATGACTTCGTATTTGATTTGGCTTTCTAATTGTTTTGGTGTTAACGAGAGAAAAAATATTAATAGGTCGAACTTTTTGTTTTAATTTTCCACTCAATACGTATGCGTGCAAGTGTTTACTTTTTTAAACGTGAAAAATTCATGAGACGCTCAATCGTAAATCACGAAGTAATTTCATGACAAAGTACACAGGCCGTTCAATTGTTTTTCTTCATATTAAACATACTATTTTAAATCTGTTGCGATTCAACAAATCGTTATTAAACATTTTTTACTTAAACAGGTACAAAATTTCATGTTTACCCTTTTCTGTTTACGCATATTACCGACTTAAATTTGGATTTTATAAGTTCTGTGAGTTTTTTCCCCTCAGGTTGAACTTCTTTGTCCTTGTGCTATGGTTTGTTTGGTTGTAAATCATGTAAATACACATGAACTCCTTTTTAGCTCACCTGGCCGAAAGCCAAGTGAGCTTTTAACATGACTTAGCTGTAGATGTACATAATTGATTTAAATTACTAAAGGTATATACTCCATATGGAGGTGCTCCTACTTACAGGAGGCTTATACACAGAAGAATAAAACCGAGCGCCATCTGTCGTCATAATGATCGTTAGTATAATACAACGATGACATTTAACGAATCGATATGTTTCAAGTTACAGAACATCAATATACGAATTTCAGTGTGTCCATGGCAAATATTTAAGTGACGTGGTTACAAATGAAGAATGGCAAAATAAGAAATAGTATACGAATGTTAGATTTAATGAATAACAAAGTCGCAAAGAATCTCAAAGTTACAAATGTTGAATTTCAAAGTTGCAAATACAGATTTTCAATATACGAATTTTGAAATTACACAGTTACAAGTTACAAATTGACAATTTACGAATTAAGAATTTTGACCCCGTTGACTTTCCATAGACCTTCAGTAGGAAAACTGACAATCCTAGGCCACCGAGGCCCCTGAAAAGTATAATAGATACATGTACAAATGTAGATAGAAACTTTAAAAAGCAAAAATGTTCAGTAGGACATGATCTACAAATATGTCAATATGACTGATTGTCAGTTAACTCTTTATAGAGTTATTGCCCTTGCATGATGATTTTACCAAAAATTAGCCATTTTAGAAGATGCAGGCCGAGACATATATACATATGTGTATATATGTCTCTGATGCAGGTGAGCGACACATGCTCTTCAGAGCATTTTGTTTATTTAGTTACTGTCTTAATACATGAAATTTGGGAAACTATCTGAGTAGGATAGTCTCTTTTCTCACTAAAAAAGGCTGGAACGACTGCCGTAAGCATGATGTTTGAGTGTGATTTTTTTCATGTATGCTTCAAGTTCAAACATTTAAAACCATTTTTATGTTTCTATACACTACAAATGTTTTGGAAAAAAGTGAATTTTCCTAAAAAATTGCACTGCCGGATTTTAAGCTTGATTTACCTTTTCCGTTGCTCTTACATGACCGAGTACAAAAATTGTCTGCCCCACAGAGTAGGTAATCTATCGTAAAATGATATAAACACCGGAGTCAAAAGTCGGTAACATAGTCTATTATGTATAAATTCGCCCGGAACCGAATCAAATATAATATACACATTATCACTTTTTTTGTGTATTCATTTCAAACTATTCGAATTTTTGTTCAATCGACTGATTAGATTATTTTCAATATTTTCACCGTAAGTGAAACATGTATTACGAATTGATAGTCCTTATTACGTGTTGGGTTAATTGAAATTTTTGCATAATTGTTTTTGGGTTTTTTTTTCTAAACACGATTCTGTCTAGCCGACTTTCTGAATAAGTTCCTTTGGAGCTTTGTCTTTCCATTCTGTGAATCCTCCCTGAAAAACAAACATTCTTCGATTTAAGATGCGAATAATTGTCAATATCTTAAGACAGCTAGTGTGTTGTATTGAAGATTTTCTATTGTTGAATATGAAAATAGGTAAGAATTAAAGAGCTGAAAACTTCACCTGGCGAGTATTTATCTGTTTTGTCTCACGTGCACATGCTTTAACAAGTTTATATTTTTACATAATATTTCAAACTTGAAACTTTTTATTAGTCTATTCAGTAATCACAAATTGTGTTTTTATTCTGAAAAATACTCCACGCATTTATGTCTTCACATTAAGATTGGTTGATTGTTGTTTGCTTAAGTCTCTTCATATATAAGACCGAACTCCAAACTAAATAGGTGATAGACAGCTGATATCAGTTATAAATACAAAACGGTAAATATTTATGTTTAATCTGAATTAAATTTAGTGTATGAAGATGTAGAAACACGTTGACGTGCACAGAATACTCCTGTTTGTAATTCGAAATATCGGAAAACTGATACGAAAAGTTCGCACACGTTTTAATTGATTTAATTTAGCTGCTTGACAAATATGAAGTAATTCTGTTCAGTTGTCTCTGAGAAAAGTTTGACAGAAATATTTGTTGGACGAACGGAAAAGGTAATTGCAATATAGCCCGTCTTCTAGACTGGATATTCAATGAATGCAGTCAAGGTGCAGACGTCCGATCTCAAAAGATTGACTGTAACCTTTTGGTAAAGATTTGGTAAAGATACACAACGTGGTAAATGAAACGTAAATATAATTTTTTTAAACTCAACGCTTCACTAGAAAAATCACACAACATATAAAAATAGCATTGGTCTACAAATCTACATACCAGAAAAACTGAAGTACCAGGACAACCACACAAATGGAGGATAAAACATAGACCACATGAAGACATTCCACTGTTACAGTGAGTAATTACAGATTTACTTAAATCTACACCAGCCGACGATAAATCTGAAATTTACAGTACTCTTTGTATTAGAAATGCATTTCCAACAAATTCGATCATCGATATTATAACAACAACTGTCATTCATTAGCATGATTGGTATTCAGAAACTATATGTATACGTAAGGGAAAGGATATAATGGTACTATTAAATCAGGGCTTTTGATCAGTACTTGGTTTACAAAATGTGTGCCCGAAACAACAAATCCAGTATTTTGATTGATTTATATCCGAGTCTCAGTACGATAATTGTGCTCGAAATATTTATGACCACAAGACTAGGAATACTTTGTACAGCTAATATTCAAACTCCTTTTTGTTAAACTGATCGAGATCAGGTTTTTTGTTAATTCAAATTTTGTTTATTCTTTCCTATTTTCCCTAAGATGTTTAAAGAGGTATCAATAGCAAATTTCTCGTGGCTTTTTATTTCACTCGTGGGATCAAAATCGCCGATTATAAAACCTTTCTGAATTTGTATATCAAATAATCTTAATGGTATATGTACCAGATATTTCAACAGTTTTAGATATTATCTACGAAATATAAATGTAAATGTGCTATGCATTGCTCTTGCAGACACTTTAGTAGTTGCACATTTTACTTGTTTTTTTTTTGTAAAATTTTGATGGATGATAATAATCAAACGTAATGAACTTGTTCTGAAAGAAAAGATAATACATGGCTTTAAGTTTTTTTGTTTTGGTCCTAATCAAATTTGTGGATTAATAATCATGATTTTCAGCCAGTCTTAGGCCTTCATAATTTGGTTAAATGTTCCAATATAAACATAATTCTTTAACAACCTTATGCTTACATCTCATCACAAAACATTACACTAACCGTTTTTAATACTTGTTATACTTTTCAGTGTTCCATCTTCTTGGTTCATCAATGATGACAATGGAATATTCTTTGCACCTTTGATGTTACCAGAACTCTCTTAAAAGGTTAAACAAAATCTGTTCATTAAATGCGATCCTCCAGCAGTTATTACAGTTTTATGGACATACAGTATTAATTAACTTTTCATTTAACACTCTTTCTTACGTTCTACTTAGATAAACTCATGCAAAATAAAGCATTAAAGAAAGAAGAAAATATTGGTTTCTCGATTACAAAGATTATAATATCATAAATACAATTAGATTAGTATCAAAATTTAATTATTAATTTAACCTTTAAAAATGTACCAAATTTATATAAAGCATCTGGCATTAACACAATGCACGGTTTCAACCTGGTTCGCCGTTACAGATTATTTTTCTTACATGTCACCTACCTCCTTATTCCCGTCCTTTCATCGGTACGTAACAGGAATACCCCTCCGAAGCACAGGATTTCATCTCCATCTGAGATTTCTATAATTTCAGCCTCCATCAACCATTTTAAATTGTGAACAGGGAGTCCTCAAAATCTTATAGCCATCGCGTTAGGTACCAATAGAATTATTGTGTTGGAATTATATTTAGAATACATTATAACGTGCAACCACATTTAACTGACCTGGTCCGGAATATTTATGTTGATGTCGACTGTCACATATCTGTATGCTGTTCGTCTCAACTCTGTCTACCATGTCGGCATAATGTCTAATATATTCATTTGTAAAGTTTGCAGAAAAATTCCCCAGCTAAAATAAATTGACAATTGAATTTTTCTCTACGAACTATTACTCGATTAGAGTGTCAAAATTAAAATACCATACTCGTAAATCTATGTATTTGCACCTTTTTTTAAGTTAAGGCTCGACATACTCTTACTTTATGAAAGCCAGTATTGTTTTTAATGGTATGTAAAATCGTATTTTTTTTTATTAAGTACATAAAGTTATTCGGACACATTGATGGTGATTGTAAATTTTCTCCTTTAGGCCACTCCAAATATATTCATAGTTCGCATGGATTTGCTCGCTTCAAAATTGTGGAACCTAAAAAAATGTTTAACGCCATTCCCTGATGACTTTCTGAATTATCGCTCTATTGAAATAAAATCATCAATTTCATTTCGATAGCCACACAATAAATAGAAAATAAAATGATTTGTGTTAAAAATTATTTCTCGCTCATGAAAACAGAAGTTTTGTAAAATAAAATTTAAAATACGCCTTCCTCTTACCAATTTCAGGTATGGCTGGCTAAAATGATAATTTCAGGGGGGAAATGCACTCGCTCTAATTTGTGCACATAAAAGTCTGAAGAACAAGTAATCAATTTGGAATGGCCTTATGATACAACACTTTAACAATATAAAAATAAGGAGATGTGGTATGATTGCAAATGAGATAACTATCCACCAAAGTTCAAATTAAGGAGATGTAAGCAATTATAGGCATCCGTACGGCCTTCAACAATGAGAAAAACCCATACCGTATTGGTATAATGGTTGTATGGTGTACTATTATTACCTGTCGCTTTGAACCAACATCAGTTACAGGAAAACCTTCTTTTTTCCATTTCTGTAATCCACCATCTAGTATGGATACCTTTTCGTGTCCAAACACCTATTGGATTAATACAGATTGTCACTCTGATTAGAATACAGATCCTGTAACCACACATAATACATAAACTGGACCCAAAACAATTTTAAACCAAAACAATTTTTAACCATAACTTTATAATATTATTTTATTAGTGTAATGCAAAGTTATTATTATCATGATAAAAAAAAAACTTGATACCTAAATGTTATATATATTGTTGATATGATACATTTGTCTGAGAATTGTTTCAAAACAAATTATATCAAACAAGTGTAAGTTCACCCGGATCGGACGTCTAAGAATGTATAAGTGACCTGCATTCACCCAGATCGGACGTCTAAGAATGTATAAGTAACCTGCATTTGCCCGGATTGGATGTCTAAGAATGTATAAGTAACCTGCATTGAGTTTCAATACTTTTCAATGTCACCATGCATTAAAACTAACATTGTTTCGTTCCCGTTTTATGCAGTTCACAATAATTTCCTATTTGACATTCAATACAATTATTTTGTAATTGGTTTGGCTTTTTTTTCGAGTGCCAATGATAAGGAAGGAAACAAAAACGCGTGTCTGTATATTAGTGTGATATCTTTGTTAAGGTTTTTTTCACCGCGCCGAAGTACGCCTATTATTCATAATACAATAATGAAAAATGATCTAGTTCGATCATAATTCTCTTTTCAGAGAAAATACTGAAATATAATTATCTCATAAGTAACTATTGAATTTTGAAAATGAAAAATGAAAAATGGACGTTCTTCAACGCGGTAAATTTTTCAGTATAAAACAAATCTTTTTCTCTGCACAAGTTGAAAGATTTGGGTTTGACACAGTCGTGATTTGAAGTCTTGACCTCCCACACTCTAGGAGAGCATACAACCAGCTGACCAATCACGCGGTTAAGGACACTAAAGGACCATAGGAAAAAAGAAAAAAAGAACTATAATATTATAATTTTTTGTTCATTTTCAAACAATATTCTTATTCTTAGCTTGTATACATTCATCTAGTGTCATAGAATAATCTTAGTTTGAATATCCACCATGCTCCACCGGACATAATTAATCCGTTAGGTGGACACAAATAATCCGTTAATGTCCAAGACACTTTAGAAAAAAATCTTACCTTGAATGTCAACCACGCTCCACCGGACACAAATAATCTGTTAATGTCCAAGACACTATAGAGAATAATGTTACCTTGAATATCCACCACGCTCTACCGGACATAAAAATAATCCGTTCATGTTCGAGTCGCTATAAAGAATATCCTTATCTTGAATGTCCACCACGATCTACAGGAAATAAAGAATCCGTTCATGTCCGAGTCGCTGTATAAAACAATCTTACCTTGAATGTCCACCACGCTCTACCGGACATAAAGAATTCAGCCATGCCTGAGTAACTGTATAAAATAATCTTACCTTGAATGTCCACCACGCTCTACCGGACATAAAAATCCAGCCATGTCCGAGTCACTGTATAGAATAATCTTACCTTCAATGTCCACCACGCTCTACCAGACATAAAGAATCCGCGCTCATGTACTTGTCATTGTATATAATAATCTTACCTTGAATGTCCACCACGCTCTATCGGACATTAAGAATCCGCTCATGTCCGTGTCACTGTATAAGATAATGATTGTTGGAAACAACAGAAATCAGCACTGACCCAGTTGGTAATGGCATCCTGAAAAGCATTAAAGACCCAACCACACTGAGATCCCTATTGCTACTTGCAGACACCCTACCACACATAGCTGATAAAAGTTGTCATCTGATTGACAACTGACAACATCATCAATCTCTGACTTCAACACAAAAGTCAAAGAACCATTCCTGACCAAATTGATTAACAACATTCAAGACAGATTTGTTGACACAGACATCATTGACCAGCTTTCAGTGCTTGATTTGAGTGGTACACCTGATGAACTCCCAGCACTTTATGGGTTCAATGAGATGTGCAGCCTAGCAGACCACTTCTCAATGGACCCAGAAGAACTACAGACACAATGGCAAGACTTCATTCAACTACTGAACACCCTGACAGCACAGGATAGGTCAATGACAAAATTACTACAGCTTCTTCACAACTCCACAGTCACAGGACTCAAAGACATCTATCACTTGGTATACAGACTTCTAAGTGTGGCCACCACACTTCCAATTAGTACAGCAGAGGTGGAGAGGGTATTCTCACAGGTGAATCTTATTAAGACCAGTCACAGAAACAGCATGAAGACCAGAACATTAAACCAACTACTAAATGTAAAATTGAACTGTGATGACACAATTTTTGCTAGCTTACTTCAACCTACAGTTACCCAGTTCTTTAAGGCCAAAGACAGAAGGATCAACTCTCTGTGTTAGGAAACTTATGAACAATTGAACATTAGAACTGTAGAAATGATAGTGCTGTATCTACATTCATGTTTTATTATTTTTATTTCGTAGTGTTTTTATTATTCATGTGAGGTGTGAATGTATAATGACAATGTATGAATGACTTATAATATATTTAATGCAAATTTTATAGAATAAATAATCAAAACAACAACTTATGATACATCTTTATTGTAAAAAAAAAAAACAATGCGAAACAAGACGGATACACACAGAAACGACTCAAAAAAAATGAGAGTTGCCTTTTCCTAACCTACAAAAGTGTCCTGCCCTCCACTGGCACCCTGCCCCTTTCAATTTCTAGCTGGAGCACTGTAATCTTACCTTGAATTTACACCACGCTCTACCGGACATTAAGAATCCGCTCATGTACTTGTCATTGTCACTGTATAATCTTACCTTGAATGTCCACCACGCTCTATCGGACATAAAGAATCCGTTTATAGATATAAGAAGATGTGGTATGAGTGCCAATGAGACAACTCTCCATCCAAGTCAAAATTTATAAAAGTAAACCATTATAGGTCCGAGTCGCTGTATAGAACAATCTTACCTTGAATGTCCACCACGCTCTACCGGACATAAAGAATCCAACCATAACGGAGTAACTGTATAGAATAATCTTACCTTGAATGTCCACCACGCTCTACCGGACATAAAGAATCCAGCCATGCCCGAGTAACTGTATAGAATAATCTTACCTTGAATGTCCACCACGCTCTACCAGACTTAAAGAATCCATTCATGTCCTTGTCATTGTATATAATAATCTTGTCTTGAATGTCCACGACATAAAGATTCCGCCATGCCCGAGTAACTGTACAAGAAAATCTTACCTTGAATGTCCCCCACGCTCTACCGGACATAAAGAATTCAGACATATCTGAGTAACTGTATTAGCAAATCTTACCTTGAATGTCCACCACGCTCTACCGGACATTAAGAATTCAGCCATGCCTGAGTAATTGTATTAAAAAAATCTTACCTTGAATGTCCACCAAGCTCTACAAGACATAAAGAATCCGTGCATGTCCTTGTCATTGTATAAGATAATCTTACCTTGAATGTCCACCACGCTCTACCGGACATAAAGAATCCATTCATGTCCGAGTCACTGTATATTATAATATGATCGTCTTTGTTTATGCCAGCTTCTCTTGCAGTTTGTTCAAATGTATCAATTCTTGGTAGATTTCTTGGAAAAATATCACAAAACTCCGCTTCGTCCATTATCTTGAAAAATACTGCTCCGGGGATGTGACAACTGGAAATTCGATAGAAATAAAAACTCAAATGAATTTACATGCTAAATGTTCTTCAAAATGAACACAGGCATCTGTTAGTCGGTAGTACTATTAATATGTAACTCTAGAAAGCTATCTTTATACAAAGCAATTGATATTATTTCAATAAATTGTTCGTCAAACCTCTTTGTGTATTGTCTATAGTAAATATATACAAACTCCCTTTTTACTGACTCACACACTCCTTTTTGTTCCGACTCGTGTGAATATACAGTATACATACTCCTTTTTGTACTGACTCGTGTAAATATACAAACTCCTTTTTGTTTAGTCTATTAAAACCAGCCCCCACTATCCACTTGCGTTTGTACCTACGAACGCAAGTGGATAGTGTTTGTACCTACAAACGCAAGTGGATAGCGGGGCTGGTTTTAATCAGACTGCTTTTTGTTCCGACTCGTGTAAATATACAAACTCCTGTTGGCAGTACACCCTAAGGCTTGCGTAGGTCTGGCTTGGTTTGTAGTTCATGCGATTCTCTCATTTTAAAAACTACGGAAATATATATATATATACGTTGCAAGACCTATTACAGTGTACAATAGAAAAGTTTACACAAGGTTCTGGTTTACTGTTTCACAGTACCAGTCATACTTGTTTTACCTTTTATACTGGCTTTCCATATCTTTCTGTGATGACCATGATACGTCACAGACCACCACATTATCTTGCAAAGCTTTGTCCACTATCTCGTCTTTAAGCCACTGACAGCTGACCAATGGTTCTATTTTGTGTGTCATTTTTTAAACTGAAAATATTTAGTAGGAGAACCTATGAATCAGCCGATTGTTCTTAAATTTGAGTATTTAGCTGTGGTAAGATCCGTAAGTGTTTCTCTGATTTTACGAGATATTTGTCTCCGTTTGTTTTCTGTTCTGCTTTACAAAGTTTATGTTTTTATATGTTATATAGAAAATGTCTATGTAAAGTAAGTAATACGATGGATATTATTCTGTTGTTTTCGAAATTACTGTCAAAAGTGTCGGTGCTTTTTGGTCACTGAACCGTAGCCAAATGTTACTTTTTTGATGATTTCGTTTTCTGCATTCTGTCACCAGTTAACTTACTATCCGATTGATACAGATAGCTTTACTGTATGGCGATTTGTTTTTAAATTAACTTGATTCGTATACAATATATATTACATGTATAAGTAACAAAACTATTTGATGCGCTTGTACTCACAAAATCCAAAAATATAATTTCGCTGTACTAATAAGTATTTTATGTTACTTTGTATACATTTCTTAATCCACTTATTGAAAAGAAAAAGGAATAGGTTTGTGATCTCAAAAAGCTAGACAGGAACCGGCTTGTCAATGGATATCAATGCTTTAAGGTATTAATTAATTAAATCCACTGTATTTGTATATAGAATATGTATTGTTCGTCAGTGGTGCTCGAAAACACACGATTGAAAATCATAATATATCAAAAGTTGACGCGCAATAAACTCCTAATCATACCGTTTCTACAGAAAAATACCTTTTGCTGTAACGATTTGTATTTGTTGTTCCTTCGTGTGCCTTTCTTAGTCCATTGATCGATCTTAAAAGGGATAGGGTTGTAAGTAAAATCTAAATTTCGGGATAAAAAACAACAAGCTTGCGTTGTAGGAAAATATGTTATGTATTTACACTAGGTACGAAGTTAGAGATGATCAACGCAAGCCATACTTTTTTCTTGTTTCTGAAGGACATACTACAGGTAGTAAATCGTGTGGCATTGGGAATGATTTATTTCGTAGTTCAGTTTATAAATTCAATAAATTCTCAGCTTAGTTTTGTATTTTACTAGGCAAGGCATGGTTAGCTATTTCCATTTCTGTGTCATTTGGTCTCTTGTGAAGAGTTGTCTCATTGGCAATCATACCACATCTTCTTTTTTATATGGTTAGCTATTTCCATCCATGTATCTCCCTTGCTCTGATGGCTCGGCCTATTTGGTCATTAAAGTAGTATAGTTGCTTTCTGCAGAATTTTATTCATTACATCTTCGAAAGTTGATAAAACGTTCTTGATGTTTTAAGTTATAATATAGCAATGTCATAAATCCTCGAAAACAACCAAAATGAAAACTTGCAGCAATATTGCACGTATAACAACACTGGATTAACAATACTTGAAAATATCGACGTTAACTGCATGAAGCTATAAACCTTGAGTTTATCATATCATTTTTTGTTATGACATTCTAAAAGTTTAATTCTTCCTTATTTCTAACAATTACCCTAACATACTTTAAATTTGTAAACTTTTTTTTTCAAATACAAATGAACATCATTCATTTACCATTCATACTGCTGTTAAAGATAATTTCGGACTGCTTTGTAAAAGGAATGATTGTAGGACAAAACACATTGCTTTGTATCTGAATGGCAATATATTTGTCATTCAAGTCACTATAATAAACAAATTACTTACCAACTTACATATAATCTAGCTTTCGATAAATGTTTGCCCTTAGTTCTGAATGTCATTCCTAAATATACATATATCAAAACTCCTCAAATTATCAGAATTATAAATTTGAGTTGCCTTAAATAATTTGATAAAATAGTTCGAAAATAGACATAATACCGATAATAATGTTGTCAGAACATCAATGTACTCGTATGAGGCTCTGATACTGTAAGTATTACATAAGATTCAAGTACTTTTTAAACTGACTGACTCCGATAATGACATAAGTAAAAAGAAATATAGGTCTTACCTTAATCTTCTACATATTATATACATGTACTAGTTACTTATAGTTACTTATCTAAACAGGATTTTGAATCATTTCAGTGACAATATTCATATAAATCAGGGACACTACAAAGTTATGACACGCATGTTTTCGTTGACAAGGTTGAGTGTTCTGAACTGTGATCATATTTAACATGTTTAATATACCTGTGTATTTATTTCATTAGAGCAAGTAACATGAATTGATCCCGCATTTTTTTTTCAAATCTTTTTTTATATTTGAATAACCCAGCCGAGTGGCTGCAAGCTTGGGTCTAGCTATCCCATCACAGAACTAAATGTAATGTTACTACATGTTTCTGTTTATGTGGAATTCCTTCTATTTATTATCAAATTCATCACTCGTGATGATAAGTACAGGTAAATCAATTTCTATGTGACATTTGTGTATGATCAGTGGTAATGTTGACATACATTTACGATATAAATATATTCATTCGTTGTGTGTGATATATATGTCTTCAATGCAGTTTGATTATATAGTGCCGTACTTACGTAAGCTTTCGCCTAGTTAAAACTTGGTACATCACATGGAATTTTCCCGCCTTCTGAGTTAATACGGAAATGGAAGCGTCAACTTGTACAAACTTCACTTACAGTGTAAACCATATATAAATAGTAGTTTTATAAGATGATGTAATATAATAATATAGGGGTAATACCACCATTGATGCCTCGATAGCCGATTGGTCTAAGTAGTTCATCTACTTAAAGACAACAACGTAGTTAGCCTGTCAACACTGGGGTTGTGAGTTCAAACACCGCACATGTCAGGTGCGTGCGACTCCAATCTTACTTGACTAGGATAGTCAGTTTTCCTGCCAAAAGGTCTGTGGTTCTCTCTGGACATTCCGGATCCTCCCACCAATGAACACTAACCACCACGATATAGCTAATGGTGCTGAAAGTGGCGTTCAATACCAACAATTAATCAATTAGATATAAGAAGATGTGGTATGAGTGCCAATGAGACAACTCTCCATCCAAGTCACAATTTGTAAAAGTAAACCATTATAGGTCAAAGTACAGCCTTCAACACGGAGCCTTGGCTCACACCGAACAGCAAACTATAAAGGGCCCCAAAAATGACTAGTTATCCACATGCATTGTTTTCCCTATTTAGTCTTTGTTAAATTGGTATTTTTCAAAAAATTGAATTTTTTGTTTCAAATAAAGAAATAATTGGCATGAATAAGTTTTATCCTGTACAGTAAAGCAGTAAAAAATTCACACACCATGTCATTACATACAAGATAATAATCTTCATTGGCAGTAAACAAAACTACTTTTCGTCGTTTTTTTTTGTTTGTCCCCTGTTTTCTAGCTTTTGTAACTAGGTCACCTAAAGTTTCCAAAATATTTTTATAGGAACAACAAATAAATCAAGAATGGTGATCTGAATCACCCATGATATATGTTTGTGACTTAGAAAAAAAAATATGCAATTGAATACAGCTGGGGTTTATTTCATACAACTTTCAAATTCAATGAAATTGGAAGTGACGTGCTATGTTTTAGTGGCATTAGGTATTTCAATATCACACCCATATCATTCCGAGACGCCAATATAATCCCAAGATTGGTTGAGAGTTGATACGGTGCATGTGTGATATTGATGGATGTTTTTACGGCTTTTTTGATCTGGCTAGGAATTGAAACCACGACAGCCCGCACTCTAGGTGTGATATTGAAAAAGCCATATCATATACACAGTATATATACAGCTACTATTTGAATATACATTTTAAGGCTCGACTATTTTATTTATTACTTGGGAGTGTACATCATTTTTTCATAACCCTTTTGCGAATCCAAGTTTCTACAAACCGGATGTCTAATGCAAATTGCACAAACCAATCGCAATATAAATTTAAGCACTCAGTTTGCTTTATAGTCTGGATGCATTTATTTTATCTATCATATCTTCATATTTTTGTTTCCTGGATGCTTTCAATTTTTCTCAACTCGTTATTGAGCTGTAGTTGTTGTATAGTAAATTTAAAGTCCAATTTCCATGTGAAGTGAAACCCTGTGGCATGCAACTTATAAGAAGGTTTCGTATATTTTTCTTGAGAGTAACACACTAGCTTCATTGATACCTCTTATATAGAGACTTTTTTGGTCTCATAAAACATCTCAAATTTTAAGGATTTTCTGATTTTACTTAAATCAATCCAAATATTCTACAGGAAAACTGGCTTTTGAAGAATATCTTGTTTTTAAAATGTTTTATGAATACCTGAACATACTCTCAAAAGAACCAATTTATATAAAAAGATATGTAGATATAAAAAGATACCAGGATTAAAATGTTGTACGCCAGACGCGAGTTAAATCTACAAAAAATCATCAGTGACGCTCGAATAAAAAAAATTATAAAGGCCAAATAAAGTACGAAGTTGAAAGGAATTCAGGACCCAAAATTTCGAAACAAAGGTTTTGCCGAATACATCTAAAGTAATCTATTCCTGGGGTAGAAAATGTCAAAGTTTATAATAAGACAGTGACTCAAAAAAGAAAAGAAAAGAGAAACAGCTAGAGGTCAGAATACCGTGAGTAATGATGACCGTGCTTGAAAGTCACATGTCAAGCTCTTACTGCCGTGTCCTGAATTTAGATAAGAAAAGCGAAAATTCACATTCGCGATTGAAATTAATATTTATGCATGCACGTTGAATTTTTGCGCAAATAAATAGTAAATAGAAAGCATACGCACTGATATTCTGGATAAGAATACGCATTTTCGTCATCACATACATTAATCTAATAGTTGAATTCGGATGTCAAACTACCTACCTCAAGAGTGATTCCGGATCCATTGCCATTTAACCCTGAATTTGTGTTAACGAAAACCGATAGTGTGCATGTGAACAGGGTGATGTATAATCATAAATGTGAATGAACCAAGACGTGTAGGATAGCTGGTCAACACAATGAATACAATTTTCAAAATCGTAACATAGTGCAAATATTAAGATGCTAGCTATAAGGTTGAGCTATTTTAAAAAAACAAACAAACAAACAAAAAGAATTGAAATTTTATAATTTTAAAAGGGCATACGATACAGTTACAGGGGAGGTAATGACGTTGCTAACGTAATATGTTATTTTTCGCGACGTCAAACTGCGACATATCGGGAAAATATGCATTTTTCGATGGATTTTACTCATAAGCTTGAAAACGATTGCATGAACCCCTCTTTTTTAAAATGACAAATGACTTTGTACTGTATAAAGATTATTTGTTCCAATTTTTATGAAAAAATCACTGATGAATTTTTTTTAAATTAAGTAAATATGCAGCAAAACATGCAATTTTTTTTACAAAATCATGAAATTTTTACAAAAATGAATTATTTTCAAAGAATTGTTACACAAAATAAATGCATACTTTTGTAAAGAAGATATTCCAAATCGTTTAACAAAATTCCGCATTTGTTTATCTTTTGAAACAAAAAAGGTAAGTTTGTCTGTCCAAATGATAGAAATGTCCAAGAAACTGAAATTTTATGTAAATGTCTAAAATGTCGACCCCATTTATCTCTAAATTTAGCACATGAAGGTATATTTTTTATTACATATTTGAATTAACTAAGTGAAAAATATCTTGTATTTAAATTTTCGTAAAAAAGTCACCGTGGGATCAAAACTGTATCGTATGCCCTTAACATACATTCCTGTTAATGAATTTTTTCCGAAAATTTAGAATATAATATCAATAAACACAAACGTCAAGTATTTACGGATGAACATTTTATTTATCAAATCAATCTCTTCTCAAAGTCTAACATTCCACTTAATGAATATATTGCTATACAAAATATAAGCAGATACTAAAACAGTATAAAATAATTAACATAGTAATTAAATTTTGTTATGATTATTGTAAAATATTAATTACGTTTTTTTGTGAGATGCAAGGATTTAAAATCCTTGTGAATTGAAACAATGCAAGTATTTTTTCATTCACGACCGTTTAAAATTTAGATATTTAGCTAACCTTGGGTACGCATCCCTGCTCATCGGTGCTCATACGTTGCATATAATTTTCATAAATGTAATGACTGTTCAAACCTGTGAGACATAATGCACGTATATATATGACAATTTTAATTATATTCTATTTAAAAAAGAATAAATTCAGTCTCAGTTTAAACTTAATAATGAATATTCTCTTTGGTCTGGTAGTATCTATTACTGAAATTAGATATTTTCGACAGAAAAATCCTTTTGTTTAATCATCTTTCTGCTTCCGACCACTGTGTTTCCGACCTAAGATAAATATTTATAACAGAAATATCGTTTTCTTAATTTTCTTCATGTTTTCCGACATTTTCCCATGCTATGATTGAAATACAAAATATCAAATGCTAAACGTTCAGAAATAATCAGTTTATTCTGGGACATTATATATCAATAAACTATTCCCAGGTTTATTGTCACAATGCACAACAGCACGCTGTATTAAATACCACACACACAACACGTACAGGGACCGTCTCAAAGCATGAATTATATAATTGCGTTATCATTATAATTAATATTTAATAAACATTAGCATTATTAAAAACACATATGTTTGTCAAAAGGCAAACAGTTTCTAACATATAAAAATTTTTTGACTGCAACCATGTCTTTATTGTTTTACTTTCCAATCTACAAATAAACTTTAATTGTTGAAATATACAATGTCACGTGGTAGCCTATCCATAGACATAGATAACTACCTGTATAAATGATCGAAAATTTTCGAGACGTTCCGAGAATCTTGATTCCGAGAATATCGAATGGCCCATAGACACTTCCAAAACTCACCAATATATAGGCGTGAACGCCTCAGGGGGTTTCACGCAAAAAACAAGGTCAAACTAGCCAGTACCAGATAAAACAACTATTCAGAAAAGTAGTTTGCCCAATAGCCATAAGTCAGTAAAAATCAAATATAATATACAATGATATAATAACATATAATGGATTTATGGTAAATTAAGAAACATGATGAAAAACTATCACATTAAATGTGAAACCTTTTAGTATGTCTTTCAACACGAGCAAAGAGTTTCATAAGGTTCGTGCCATCATTTTATCATAGGCGAAAATGATTTACCATGCAGCTTACAACACCTATACAAATTTCAAACCAAAACAAAGTCTATCCGAATCATTTTTCAAAGAATTCCACTCCTGTGACTTTGAGATGAAGAACAGCAATAAAAGCGATGTTCCTTTGCTTTTTGTGTGTTTTTGTGCTTTGCATGTACTGATTTTGTGTCATGAATGGATACCCCAAATCCTTTGTTTTTCATTATATATACTGTTATAACTTAGCCAAACACAAGCTCACAAATAGTCGTACCGAGTATGAAAGATCTCACAGCAGAAGGGTTCGCAATGTGTTACTATGCTATAATTCTTATATGATTTGCATAACTACAAATACTTGAATCGGATTGGTCCGTTAGAATTGTTTCCCTTGGTTTACACTTCGAAAGACCATGTTACCGAATCTACTTACGTAACCTCACTCACTGTGATCAATTTATACGCGATGCTAGTCCATGGGATCTATGGAAATCAAGCAAATTGAGATTGAAAAACAAATACATAACTGTTATTTCTATTCTAATGCATAACAGAAGAAATAATCCATTAAGGCTTGGAAAATGTATTAGATT